CACACCTCTCTTCTCTGAGCACAATCACAACTGAACAGTAACTTTTTTCCTTTATAAACACATTATTACAGAGGTGGTTCTCCTATCCCTGATGGGATTGGCTTTAGCCAGCAGTGAGTCTGTCTTGGAATCAGCTGGCACTGGTTCTGCCAGACATGGGGAAAGCTTCTGGCAGCATTTCAAAGAAGCCACTCCTGTAGCTCTCCCCACTTTTCCCCTGCTACCAAAACTTGGCCATGCAAACCCAATACAAATAAACATGTATATGTATGCATTTTATGTATATTTCTGCTTTCATTGTTTGGACAAATTTAAACATTTTGGAGAATGCAACAGAAATGGGTGCTTCTATACCAAATACCCTTTCTGACAGCTTTCACCTCCTAAACCAGAAGAACAAATCCTTTTGTCAAAAAGAATATAACATCAAACAATACACTGATGCCCCAGATACATGAGAGTACAATTTATTGCACCATCTTATTAAGCTGCTCTGCAGTCTGACACAAAAGGCAATGTGATACTCTGCTAAACACTGGTATGAGTACTCTGGCAGTCCAGAGCAGGTTAAAACCTATGCTCTTCCTTCTGTGTGTTCTTCAGAAAAAGACAAAACAAATAATTTTGTAAACTGCATTGAATTTTGCAAAGTTTAACAGAATCTGACACATCCATTTGAGATGGCTAGTGTTGTAGAGAAGGATGTTAAAGACCATCAAAATGGCATGAAGATCACTAAAACACTGCTGAAGCCCATGCCTAACCATGGGATTTTAAATGTACATAGATTGTGCTGTTTGGGAGAAACAATATGAAACAATGTCTTGTCACAGGTCTTTGGTGCAGCAGTTTCTCTTACAGGGATGCTCACAATGGCAATAAAAGGCACCAGTGTTTTCCAAATGTGTTAGAAACTCTCTGTATGTTGCAGTAGGCATCATCAACTACCTGCTGATTTCCTGCCTAATACACAGTGGATATCAAACATTTTTTCAGTGACCACCAGACTCCTGAACTGCTTTGCACAAGAAATTACTGCCCTATAAAAGGACAAAAAAAATTTAGAATGAACTCTAAATGAACTGCAGATAAAAATCTCATCTTTTGGAAGCATGCAGTGTTAAACTGCTTATTTTAGCAGCAATATTTTAAAAGCTAAAACAAAAGAATATTTGCTGACTGTTAAACCTTTTATAAGCTAATTGTTCTACCCCTGGCTTATAGACTTCATTCCATGGATTTCTGTGTCAAAATCTGTCAAATTTGTCACATCGTCTCTGCCAAAATCTATCAAATCTGTCACATTTTCCCCTCAATGTTTATTTTCAGCATTTTTGCCCAGTCTGTTCATAGTAATCACCTTCCCAGAAGTCAAATGACATATTTACATATAGGTCATTTAGCATAGCATTATTACAAATACAACCTGTGGATACTGAGTAACATTTTTGTGTAATCATAAGAACTGGATTTTAGTCTTCACTTCCGGTCTTCCATACAACAATAATACAGCTAAACAACACAAAAACCAGTCTGTGTAATATACTGTGTTTTACTGTGTGGTAAAAAGCTTTAGTAACCAACAGCAGACTTTTTTCTAGGTCTAAGAGGAACATTAATTGCTGTGATTAACGACTTTATTAACTTTAATTACAAATTTTTTATTCTAGAAGTACCAAATCTTTTGAAAAATTTGTGCAATCTACAAGGACAACTGAAACTGTGAAAGATGTTTTGTAGAAACTGGTATCTGAAGCAGGGAAAGTGAGCTAGAAAACGTGAGTAGCATGTACCGAGTTCCCTGGGTACCTCTTTCCCTATTAATATCTGTCCATGACACACTTGGCACTGTGTCCTTTCCCCACTGATATCTCAGCTGCAGACCTTCTATCCATGAAAATTATTTTTATCAATTTGCCTAGGCAATGTCCCAGTGCACACAACCAACCCACAGATGTTCTGATAAAGCAGCTGCCTGCCAAACAGCATGTGTGACCGTGACTGGTAGGTTGTTATTTCTCTGGGTGTTTGCAGGCACATCTTCTGATTTGCACAGCAGACAGTTCTGATCATGGGGACAGCACCAAAAAGTATTCAAGATGTAACATCTTTCCACTCTATTACTGACAAAAACTGTTTATCTGAGAAAGCTATGGAGTATTTAGCATTTTGGACAATAAGTCCATTTATACTCTACAATCTCAGAAGATAAGGGTGTAGGTCTCAATGTGTATGTCTTGAACATGGATAGCAGGAGTGCTGTGGAGCCAAGAAAGGACAGCTGGTAATAACACACAAGAATTGTTGGTAATCACTAAGGATTGTTGGTACTAACACAGTGTGAGAAAGAATAACATGGGGCTGGAGAAGGGGCCATGTAGAGGCAGCGCAGCACTTTACCAGGACAAACATTGTTCCAGTTTCTGGAGCACAACCCAGCACAGGACAAACGCAGGAATGAGGCCAAGAAGTGGGCATGGACTGTAGGGGAGAACAAGACCACCAAAGACCCAGAAGCTCCGCTCCCTTCCCTTCCCTTCCCTTCCCTTCCCTTCCCTCTTATCCCTTTAGCCCCCTGCCATGTGCTTACAGTAGGTCAGGAGCTGACATGCTGTAAAACCCCTCCACACTTTTGAAGACCCGCTGACTTTTGTTGTTCCGTTCAACCACAAGCATTTATGAAGCTTGCCTACTCTCTTCTGCTTAAGGGTGAAATGTCACATACCAGAATGCAGCTTGGGCTCCAGGAAAGTAATTATAAGGCCTGTTTCTGTAAAAAACCTAGGCCCATAAAGTACACTAACATCTGTCTAACGAGGACACTTCCAAGCTTTCAGGGGGAGCCCCACGGCACCTGAGGGGCGGCTGTAAACACGGGGGGGGCCGGCCGAGCCCACCAGCGGCAGAGGGGGGAGGGCGCGCCCCCTGCAGGGCGGTGGTGGTACGCTCCGCGGGCGGGGCGGGGTTTCCCGCGCTCCCCTCAGGTGCCTGAGGGCAGCGGCGTAGGCGGCGATCGGCGCAGCACGGGAGGCACTGACGTGCCTGCTACTGAATAATTCCTACATTCAGTTAATATCTCTCTGTCTATCTCTCACTCTCTCTCTCCCTATATATATGTTTCACTGCCATGTGCAGCAAAAAATCAAAAATTTAACTTTCAAAACGGGACCATCACCTACAATAGTTTCAAAAGTGATGCTGGGAAAGCATGAATGGCAAGGGGTCAAAGAGACATTAAAAGAAGGTGTCACTTTTGCAGCAGTCAAACCCATGATTTAAATCTTTAATTTTTCCCCAGTGACATAAATATCGTTCAGAACAGGAGTGGGAGGTTTAACAAAAAATGCCTTTTGAAGACATAATGTGTAATAGTAATATGCACAAAAATAACAGTGATGAGTTTTCCTGCTGGAAAAAAAATACAACATTAATAATATAACATCATTTTTAATTTGCTGTTCCAGTTCAGCAGGAGTTTTGTACCCAGTGGTACTGTTGCCAACTGCTGAGCACATCCTGTCTTCCGAGAAAACAAGTGATGCCATAGAATAAGGAAACACAGAAACAAAACAGCTCAACACAGCAGCTCCCTGAATTCTATCCTCTGTCTAAATGTGGAGAGTGGAACACAGTTTTAAAAGTATAACGAAAAAATGATGATTGACAAATATAAGATACTGCCCATGATAAGGATTGGAAAAGTCAAAGGATCAACATTCATAGTGTACATTTAGATTATCAACTAACAGAATATTAATATTCTGTTTAATATTAATGGTTAATTGTTTTAAAAATTTGAGTCCTGAATACATATTTAAAACCGCAATTTGACAAATCATTGCATGGTAGTAAGTTCCAAGTTATTAAGAATACTAATTAATTTTTTAAAAAAACATTAATTTAACTAAGAAGCATTACTTTTTCAAAGTTTACTATATTCTGTTAATTTAAAACTGTTAATTTAAAAAACTGAGCTTTGGCTTATGAATTAGTTTTAGTCTCACTGAGGAAGGAGTGGGCACAAGGAAAAAATATTAAACACACAGAACCAGTATCTTACTGCTTTGTTCAAGAAGTTACATACACACAAAAGCTTGTAAATATTGAATGACTGAGAAAATTACTCAGTTATGTAATTTTGGTTTCTGCTTAGTGTTGTGCATTTACCTATTTCTGCCTAACTGTACTGCAACTATTTCTGTCTGGAAACTCATCCAGTTTCTGGGTAGTGAACATATTTTAACTTGTGGTTCATCTCCCTGATTGCAATTTTTTTTATTATTTGTAAAAAGGCTGTTCACACATTTCCACATAGAAGTGGTAATTTTGTTTGGACCACATGGTTTACTAGCAGGTACTGGAATTTTTGTCTCATGGAGCCTGATGTTGAGAAATAGTTTGAATATTTTTAGAAGCATTCATGTTGTGTATTTCAGATCCATCTTGCAAATGTATGTTGAAGATTTTGTAAGTAGAATTTATAAAAATAGGGGTTATGTTAAAATCTGAAACTATGTATGCCTTTCAAAATACTGTCTTTTTATTCAGTAGCAAGGTTTGTGTGTTGCACTGATTTAACACTTGTTGTTTATAAGAAAGTATGTGAGTACCTTTAAACCTGAGTAGCCAAGTATTAGAACATCTACACAGGTAAAAGATGCTGAATTAATATGTGCCTGGTGCATTATTCTGTCTATGGAAGTGAATCCAGGTTAACTTTTTAAATACAGCAAACTTTCCAAATTCAACCACAATATATCAGTTTGGCAGGTATTGTTTGGGCTTTCTGACATTCACTGTATTTCCCAGAAATGCAAGATCTTAAATAGGCTGAAGTTTAGCTTCAATGCAAAAATAGTTTGAATTTTAAAAACAATCTTCTTTGTTCTTCTTACATTTTTGCCTAAGAATTTATGTGGTGTGAATGATAAATATATTAATTTATAGATCTATTTTTTACATATATCTAGTGATCATTTGATTATACGGTCCAGAAATAAATGAATCACAGTGATGAAGAAACTATGAAGAAAACCAGTGTAGTGAACCTTGATAAACTTTTATACGACTTCTCAGAGATAGAAAAGGTAAGTGAAGAACGTAAAAAATGTTGAGACTGCCATCTATAATTGTTGTGTGATATTTTCAAAATATTTTTGAAAATATTAAGCTGTATCAGCTCTTTAAGTTGTATCAGCTTAGTGTTATGCCTTGCAATACTAACTTCAATTGGAAAGGTGTTTGTATTGACTGTATCCTGGAGACACAGGAGTGGATTCTGAGTGAAATCTGACAAGCCTTTGTTTCTGTGCTACACTTTTAATCATCCAGAGGCCAAATTGGCTTTCTCAGGAAGACTGTGGAAGATGGTGTTGAAGATAAACTGCGTTACACTGCTTTCACAGAATCACAGAATCGTGTGGGCTGGAAGGGACCTTACAGACCACCTAGTGCCAATCCCCCCACTGCTGTAGGAAGGGACACCTCTCACTAGACCAGGTGGTCTAGTGCTGGGGTATCCTTTCAGAAGTTGTTCCTTGTTCTAGAAAAATGTCATTGCCTTATCAGGAGCACGAATTCCTACATTTCATATGCATTGAGCTTCCTTTCTCTTATGTGTATATAATTTCTTAAAAAATTGACCCTCTGAGGAAAATCAGTACTGTGTTTCTTTTTAGACTGATGTTGATCAGCTTTCTGCTGATTTCCTGGTCTGCAAATCCATACTAGAGGTAGTATAAAAGGAGCACCTGAAATAAATTTAGCATTTCTTATTATACCAGTTTAGCATAACTTGTATACCAGTTCCTATTCCCACATACTGTTCAAGTTGTTGCTCTGCAAAAGTGTTGACAGCCTCATATGCAAAGCAGTAGAAAGAACCTTGAAGTGGATTGATCCAGACTCTGGACTACAAGACTGAGAGGAAAATAATTTATAACTCATGATGTAAGTCAGCATTCTTAGTTCTGCAGGGTACTTGGAACAGCAAAGGATCTCAAGTCTAGTATCATTCTTCACTATAAAGAAATATACTGAATGGGAAAATATTACAGGCTTGGTCTGCAGTATTGTTGAATTGTTAAATTTTTTATTCACTTAAAAGTCAAAAGTTCAAACATGTTAATTTAACATTAGTCCTTCTCCAATTTTCTAGAAAATATCAGAAATTAATGATGCAAATAACCTACTGATTCATCAGCTGGAAAAATGTAACAGATTACTAACATTAAGCCAATCAAAGGAGGAATCAGTAAAAGAGGGTAAGTTATTTTATTAGAGAGGTATGATTTTTTCAGGTATTCAAGAAGTTCTGAGAGATGTTTCCATTATTTTCAGCCATAAAAAATAACATAGCAAGGATCTAAGATACTGTGTGAAAAGCAGTAATGCCTAACCTTGAATAATGTAATGAAATCCATCTCATAGTAAATATTAATATTCATATTAATTTTATGAGGATTCAGACTGTTCAGTGGATGCTAATAAAATGTCATTTACCATTTATAGGTGGGAATGATAAGGCTACATAATTTAATTATAATTATTAATGATCATAATTAAAGAGTTGTGAAACAAAGGAGGAATTACAGGGAAAACTATAAAATTAAGATTAGTTTTATTCTAGAACTGTTTTCAGATGAGTATTTGAAATGAGAAACAATATCTAATGCTTAGCACAGATTTGTGGTTGCTTATTCTTCTGTAGTTTGTAAAGTAGCTGAAAGGGGCATCTTTTGTAGGACTTTCATCTCTGGGAAATCAGCCTGCTAAAAATTTGGAAGCAAGGTAGGAATAAACTTAGTTTCACACAGGAGGGAGATTGCCAGTTGGGTTTTATTTCAGTCTTCACTGGGACTTGGATAATTTGGCATAATCAGGAACTAAGTGTTGAAATTGAGCTATTGAGTGAGTGAAGTTTGCTTATGATGATAATCTCTTCAGATATACCAAAAACTCGTAGTACAAGATGACAGGGGAGATGGAGACCAGTAGCAGTACAAATGGGAGGCATTTTGTATAAGCAATGGTCGATGTTAGTTGGCTGCTTTTCAGGAAAGAGATCTTGGTGTCCTCTAAACAGTTCTCTTGAAATATTTGTATTCTCTTAAAATATCAGTAGACAAAGAAGCAATACACATACAGTGTAGGTATGATGATGAAAGAAAAAGATAAATAAGCATTGTGACTGTAAGGTCTGTGATTTTTATGTCATGTTCTGGTCCACACATCTCAAAATAGACAACAGCAGAACTAGCACAGGTAACAGAGAAGGAGGCAAGGCTTGGTATTGCCAGGAAGGAGAAAGGTACAAGGAATCAGAAACTACTCCTATAACAAACACCATGGATGTAGGGGCATAACCATGCAAGGTTCACTCCCACTGTGCCCATGCAGGGTTGGCCCAGAGAGGACTGCCGTGGTCAGCCAAAAGTCTACATTACCAAACAAGTATGTACGGATGAGAGTGACTCAGGAGGCTGAGTCAGAATGCAGTTCAGAAATGGTAACAAAGGCCAGACTCGGCCCAAGGATCTCTAGTTAGTACCAAGTGAAGAGGCAGATCTGATATCAAGTCAGGAAATCACTCTTTAGGTGATGACCAGTGTCTAAGTGTGTGGCTGTCACAACTACAGCATAGGCCAAGGGCAAAAGCCTCCGTTTACAAGCAGCTCCCTTGGGAAGAAGGGATGGCTATTTCTGAATCTGCTGCCAGCCTTTTTTTCAACATCACCATCTGTACTCTTTCTAAGATGGCCTTGTGCCCAGCCAAACACCCAGAAGGTGCATGGGGGAAAATGCACCTGTGACTTTCACAGGTTTGATCTCAATTTTGGGACATCTGAGGGAAGACTTTGGTTGGTTGGGAATTTTTTCAGCCAAGACAAAGAATAGTGCTGATATGAATCATAGCTGTAAAATTCTGAATGGCACAGAGACACTGATTACAGAATAGAATATTCATTTTCTAATGTAATAAAAAAACAAATGGAAATAAAACATGTATATTGATTTAAAGCTAACAAAAGAAGGAACTTTTCCACGCATTACAAAATAAAGTTAAATCAGTTCCACAGAAGCCTGTGCATAACAGAAATATACTTAATCAAAAAATAATGGAAAAAAACAATGGAAAACAACAAACTTTTTAAAAACAAAGATAGTATCTCTCATTGTCCCCTTCATTCTGTGTTTAGGAAGTTGAGAGGATGTATTAATGATATCTTTTATCTAGCTTTTGTTAATCTTTCCTGAATTATCTTGTAGTGTATATTGTGAAGTGGCATCGTGAGCTGGATGGAACATTGGTTTGAGTCAGAAACACTTGTTTCTCTATTAAGCACAAAAGTCAGACAGTGCAGGACAGTCACTCAGAAACAGAAGAGGCTTCTTTATTGATGAAACCAGAAAGGAGTGGGTTTATACAAAACAGTTTGTAAAAAAGGAAAGGAAAAGGTGGACAAAAAGAAGAAATAATTCTTACTATAGAACCTATGATAGAAAAAGTAGCAGAGAAAGTGAAAGAGACAACTCTGGAAACCAGAGCTGCTGGGATGACTGCAACAAGAGGAATGGACTGAAAACAGATCAAAGTCAGAAAAGAGATCTGAGCTTTGTAAACAGTATTGCCTCACTTTCATGAGATAAGAGAGAAATTATTTGGTGAGATAGTTACGCTGATATAACTGAAAAGAACAGCCTCTGGAGCTTCTTTCAAAACACCGGATGAAAAAAAAGAAGTGTGGGTGGCAGAAGTCCAAGTAAAAAAGCCAGAGCAATCAGCCTGAAATATGAACTAATGTTTCAGCAACAGGGATGGTCAGGAAAAAACAAACCTCAACAATATTGAAGTAATAGGGATAGTGCAGATATAGACAGGAGGCAGAATTGCTGTAAGACAAGGATCCTGGTCAATGAGTAAGCGTAATTGCAGAGATATTAATAACATTGACAAAAACAAGTGAAAAGCAGGAACTTGGAACAATGTGAGACATTCAAGAGGTGCTTCTGAAAGCTGTTTGATGATAATGAAGTAAAATACGAGTAAGAGGCCAAAGGGATAGAATGTATTTAGAAATTAAGACAATTATCATGGCTGCTCTGTTAGGTTAAGCTCAGAAAGGTTGTGGAGTCTCCCCCACTGGAGCTATTCAAGAGCCATCTGGGTGCAATCCTGTGCCCTGTGCTGTGGGGTGGCCCTGCCTGAGCAGAGAGGTTGGGCCAGATCACCTAGTAAGGGCCCTGTCTGTGGTTCTGTGATTCTGTACTTACCAGTAAGGTAAACTATTAGATTAATGCGCTTACCAATAAGGCAGACCTTAAAATATCAGGGCATGAAATGCTTGTAAGTTTATAGTTTTGAACTGTATTCATTACTAGGTGCTCATAAAGCAGAGTTTCAAAAGAAATGGCTTGGACAGAAAATTGACATAAACTGGGCAGAGACTGTCACAGAACCTTCAGGTAAACAGTTAACATGTTACTGGAGATGAGCAGAGCCTGTGAATAGTGGTAGTGACATTAGGAGTATTTCAAAAGGATGTGAAAAGCTGAAGCAGTGATTATAAATTAGTAAGTCTATAACATTTCTAAACCTTTCTTTTTTCTTTTTGCAATTGATAGAAATGGTCTTTGCACTTTTATTAAATTGACCTTCCACACTGACCCTTCAAAAGAGGTCATAGCATATGTGGTATTCAGAGTATTCAGAGTATAATTCAGTATTCAGACTCTGAATATGTGGTATTCAGAGTCAGAGTACTAAAACTTTTGCATCTAATAGTTAAATTCTTTATAAAACCTTTTGAAAGGGCAAAGCACTATGGGATGAAAAGAGACCCCCAAATCACCTTTAATATTTATGGGGTTATAAAGGGGTCCTCTGCAGCACTGGAGAGGTGCCAGGGACCAAATGCAGCATTGATACTTTCAGTCTTTACTCTGGCAATAGTTATCTGAACAGACTGTAGTCATGAAAATGGCTTTTATAGAATGATATGGCCAATTATGGCTTGGAAAAAATATTTCTCCTAGCCTTATGTCTCAAGCTGTTTCCCAGAACCCAGCTCAGCCACAGCTCCTGAAGTATCTTTCGAAGAGTTGGTCCAAAGGTGACAGAAGTTGCTTACAGCAGAGGAGCAGGAAGAAAGATGCTGTGGAAGGATAGGCTGTTGTTCCACCTACCCTGAAGCATTTGTGGCTACTAGTGGTAGTGGGATGAGGAAGTGGAATGTTATCCTGGCTGAAGAACACTTTGTTTTAAGAAACAACAACAAGAAGTTTTAAGAAACAACAGCAACAACAAATATAGTATTTCACACCCCAAGACATCTCCAACAAGTGAGAACCTGAGGATGTCCTTGACATCCTTGTCAAAAGTCTTTCCTAGAACTGTTTAAGCTAAAAGAAGATTGGAATTTTATAATAAATGAAAAAAAAAAAAAAAGAAAGAAAACCTCTAAAAATCAAGGGAGAGGACAGTGAAACACTTATATCCAAGATAAGGTGGAAAAAGAAAAGCAGCTTGGCCTGTGTATACACTCTCTGAAAGGTCATAAATTAACTTCATTTTCTCTTGGTATGTTCTTTGCTAAACAAAGATGAGATTCAAAAAACCAATTTTTGTTTTGTGTACATCATTGCAAATCCATTTTAGACAGGTACAAGTCTGACATCTTTGTTTTCTACTCCTAAACCTTTTCTGTGGTGGCTAAATAGATTCTTGTGATGCTACAGTTCTAAATAAAATTCTAATGTAGTTTGCTAAAACAAAGCAATCACATTTTTGCCTGTGAAACACTTAAGAAGGTTCTACTTAGCATCTTCAGGGTTGTGTGTTTGTTTATTTAGCATTTCTATGGTGTTAAAGGAAAAAGTGGTTGATATAATTGCCTTATAAAATAATCAATTATAAATGCAGATGAACACTTATGCTGTTGTCTTTCTGCATGTAGGTACTATACCTTACAGGGAATGAGCTACACAGGATCCATAGCAGATGCTGTGACAGTGATCCACAAGGCTGCAAACTTTAAGAAAAATTCTGCTTCTTTTCCTTAATGTAGGCAAGCAAAACTTGTGGGTTCCCAGGAATTTTTTTCCAGTCGCAACTTTAAGTACAGTCTTGGGACTGTACGAAAGAGTGGCTTACACTTTAACAGTTGTGATTCTTTTTAAAGACTAGCTGGTGCTCTGGTGTTGACTCAGATGTCTTTCCAAATTGTACATGAATTACAAGCATCTGAGTTATTTTCCATACATTTTCAAATCGGAGGAAATTTGTAGTAGAACTAGTAGGTACGGGCATGCTGATCCCGTCATTCCGACTTTGAATAGGATTTTTCCACAGTTGCTTTTGATCTGGCACAGGAACTGACGGGCAGGCAATGTTTCTGTGCTGCTCGTGCTCCCTCTGCTGTTGTTTTTGGAAGCACGGAACGGGAAAAGGTATCTGGCTAACGCACTCGGCTGCATGAAAAGCAGACTTGATGGAAGATCAGGCTGACTGTCAAAAAGACTGAGCAGAAAACTGAACCTGTTAGCTGGGATCTTAGTTCATCTTCCTCACTCCATTATTTGTAATGTAATCTTTAGTGATATGATAGACAGTTTTCAAAAAGGCTTTAGTTTGATGAGATGAGTAACTGTTATTTAGCAAACTTTTATGTGTTGTGGAAATTAAAAGCCATTTAAGAAATGCAGTGGTACTCAGGAAAGAGAAAGAGAAGTTTTAAAAGTAAACAACCTCAGTTGTAGAGCCTCCACTGTTCTCAGTCTTTGACAGTTTTGTGACTCTACTGACAAACTTACAATGAACATAAGGGATAAAAGTCATATTAATGAATTAATCCTATATTACAGGAAGTACACATGGTGTTTGAATATTAAAAACACAGTTTTAAAAATAAAATTATGAAATACAACTTATGTATGTAAACTGATAAAAGCTTGCATGTATTTTTATTTATTTTCATTTATTCTGTTGTATAAAATGAGATAATGGAGGCATAGCACATATTCTGAATCTCTCAAAGCTTATGTTGAGCTATAAGATGAATGTTACATGCATCAAGAAAGGGGTAAAAAGGGGTGAGAGATCGCAATAAGTGGATTCTTTTGGTCTTGTTAAAAAGAAAATTGGCAAAGAAATACTGTCAGAAAAGTAAGTCTCGGTTTCATTAAATATATCAAATTGCTGGAAGGCTGATATGGAAAATTTCTAGTACTGCCCAGAAAACAAAAATATATTTGATTTCTGACTAGAAACAAACATATAATACTTTTATGAAATTGTTTGTATTGCTTCATAAAATTGATTTTAATCAAGCATCAAACTAAAAGCTAAAATTAAGCAGTAACCACCTAATAATAATCTGAGTAATTTCTACAGTCAGTAAAAAGACTTAGAGTAATATTTAACCAAAATTATCATAAAATATTTGATAAAATTTTGTAAACAAAATGTAAATTTGTGAAGACACTGTTAAAAATGCTGGATCTTTCATTTCTTTCAGAATGCAGTGCTCTACAGAATGTGATAAAGGGTCTAACACAAACCATTGAAAACCAGTGTAACGTGAAAGGTAAAGGCAAAAAATGCTATTTTATATAGGTGCTGTACTGTAATTTCGAATAAGCAGGCATTTAATTTTTTCATTTATATTTACTGATTTATTTCAGACACAGAAATTTACTGACAGGCAAAAAGAAACAAAAAAAATTATCTAAAATCAATCTTGTGCAGTAATAAATGTCTATTGCCATTATTGCCATAGTTTACTTAGTAACTGCCTCCAGGAGGTTATTTTAGTCAATAGCTGGGCTTTCAATTCATTGTTGCATAACACAGGCAATTTTACAAAAGGTGAGAAAGTATCATTCAGCTGTTGGATTGTAGACTATTCAAGTGTGTATGCACATTTTTTATCACTTTGTTAAACCAGAGTGCCTTAATCCTTAGTTTATAATGTTATTAAATGTTATTGCTGTTATCTACATATACTTGAAACTAATTTATACAAGTACTAATTTTTACTTGAAAAAAATATAAATATTTGCTATATCTTTATACTGAAGCTCAGCAATACACCATGAAGTTAATTTTATAATTAATTATTATAAATTATATGCATTCAAGGCATATTTGCGTGTATATTAATGAATCTCTAACATTTTAAGTATATTGATGTTTTTAATACTCCAACTGATATTAATAATAAAAAAAACCCCTATTTTCTTTAAATTCTGTGTTTGCATACTGTTTTCTGGTTTTTGGGAAACAGGTGCTTAAGAACTTGCATCTTCCAATTTGAAACTGTTGTAGCTATTATAATAGTCTTTTATTTTCTGAGTCGAAGAACTTTGCATCTAGATTTTCTTGAATGCATAATTTATCAGAAGACTAAAGAAAGTTTAAGTAGTAATACCAGGTAAATATTATGATTAAAATTAAACTATGATTTTTCTTGTTAAAAAATGGAAACAGACAGTATGTAGTTCTGTAATGATGATTATACTGTCAAAAAAATTTCTCAAAGTTCAGCCAAGTCAAAAAATGCAAGTAATTTCCTTATTCCTCTTTCATGCTAAAAAAATTATCAAAATGTACTTTTTAGTGTATCATATAGTTTTTGTTTATGTAGATGAAAATGATAGACTGAAGGGAACCATTCACATCTTGGAAGATAAATTAAAGACTTGTGAAGAGGTATGTCACAAATTATCATTCTTTAGGTAAAGGAATAATACTACATCTCTATTATGCTGTATGTCTTTTTGTTTAGGATTTGATATTGATACTCTTATTGGTGCTCTTCTGTTAATGTTTTTCATGTGTAAAAAGAGAAGGGTTGTTCTCATGACAGTATCCATGTGAGAAGGTGTTAGAAGAACTAGGAGGTTAAAACTCATTGGTGCTGAGAACTTGGGCTCAATCTAAGATGCACTTGGGTTTTTTTTAGCTGTGTTTAGCTTTAAATTCAACTTTACCTTCATTATTCTAATCCCTTGCACTAAAATAATTTTTCATGTGGAAATAGGGTTTTCACACTGAAGATGTCTGGTTGTGCTGCCAGAGATACAGGAGTGGTCTGAATTTTGTCCTGTTTATTCAAGAATAAATACTACAAAGATAATAGGTCTCTATTTCTTATCTGTACCTCATAATAAATTCCTTATATGATCTCTGTACTTTGTATCTATGGCACTCATTTTTGCAAAGGAGGTAAAACCAGCAGCACTAGTCATAGTTCTCTGTTTTCATAGTTCTCTGTGTGGAGAGTGCAGATCTGTTTTCTATTTAGGATCAGGAATCTCACTGATGATTCCTTTGCCTGTGTTTGTGCTATTAGTTAAATATTAGTACCAGTAGAGCTATTATTTTGACTCTTTGAGTAAAAACTGAGTAATGTCTTCTGAAGGATGTGATAAATTATTATTCCACTCATTATACATGTGTGAGCACAGTGGGACTTCCTAGTGTCAGTCTGAAGGCGCCTGACTATGTCCCCATGTACTGATCCCCAGTCAGTGACTGCCTCGGTGAGCGCCGCCAGGCATTGCTCTGGTGAGTGGCCATCTTGTCAGAGGGCTGCAACGAGAGCTTTGGAGTCAGCACCTCGACAGTGGCAGCTACAGACAATTCCTTGAAAATTCTGGAGTAGTTATTGGAGTAAATTTATAACTGGCATCTTCAAACTTTGAACATCAGTGCCAGCAGCATTACTGCTGCTGGTATCACTGATGTGTCTACTGCTGCCAGCATGAAGTTGTGGAATCCTTTGTATAAGCAATACTAACAAAATTCACACTTGAATCATGCAATCCTTGAGTCAAAAATCCACAAAGGTGAAACTGTAGTCCCTTAACTAACTGCATCATTGTGTCAGATCCTGTTCTCAGGAAAGGACTATTACCTCTCCATTTGCCTGTTCTCCTAAGAAGTACAGTTTCTAATTTTACATTAGCAGATAGTTGTAATACAATGAAATCTGCATTATTTTTTCATCTGTGGACTTCAGCCAGACTGTGTAAGAAGTAAGTGGGCATTTAAATTTGCAAGATTGAGGATAATGAATTATAGAGTACTGTATATTTTTACATGATGGTTGTGCTTTGCAAAAGGCTAAGAGCACAGAAACTGCAAGATCTTTATAAAACATTTTACATTTACAGGAGTACAAAGATCAAATTGAGAAACTCATGACAGAAATTAAAAACAAAGAGGAAGACCACAAATTAGAAATAACACAGTTGAATTGTGATACAAGGAAAAAATGTAAGTTCTCTGAAGACTGAATGCTTTAGCAATGTCACCTGTAGATGCTACGTTTTGTCTAGGATAAATACGAGTTCCACTTCTTAGTGGAAACACATGAACACTAGAAGTGGGCGGTGTTTAACGGAAATTTATCTTTGCTGAAGGCAGCAGAGAGTGGTAATGAAGCAATAGTACAGCAACACAGGATGAGCAGAAATTCCCAGGTAGTTAGAACAAATGCTGGGAATGTGGGCATAAAAATCAGAAGGAATGAAATTTTCAGTTAAGTATCAACTGGAACCTTGCTTTGAACTGTAAGCTACGTTGCTGTTCAAATCTTCTATCTGTGTTCAGGAGAGCAGAACATTATTTTCACAAATAAGTAACACTTCAATGAGGAAAAAACTGATTTCTATGTTCATTTGCTCCATTAGAGATATAACCTTAAAAAGTAGGATTTTTTTGTCATCCATATATGTGAAAACAAGGAAAGTTTTTGTAAATTATGTGCCTTTTTTAAAAAGACACCATCTTACTGGTGTCTTTTTAAAAGGACAGTGTGGTTTGGATATAGTTTCAGTACGGTTTTTGCTTGAATTGTTTTCCAGTGAAATGTTGGCCTGATGTTCAAGAAAGTTTTAATATTTGGAAAATGATGTTAATTTTTCATCTATATAATTTCATCTATTATAATCATAATTTTGGTGTTACTGTGTTGTTAGTTGAAGTAAAAGAAATGGAGTATAGAGAAGAGAGAGAAAAAAAAGAACTGGAAATATTAGAGCTAACTAGACAGTTGAAAATTCAAAATGAAGAGAAGCAGAATGAAATAATTAAACTGCAGATAGAGGTATGCATTACAAAGCTGACTTAAAGATGAACATTGGGTAAATTTCAAAGAGACTTTGTAGTGAAAAATATTAATTAGTACTTAACAAAGTAATACGATGGAATCTAGAAAACTTAATTATTTATTGTCTTTATGAGGATCAGTGGCAGGTGCTCCCTTCCACAATGGTAACTGGCTCCTGCTCAGGAGTCAAGTTCCACCTACTGTATAGGGAGACTGAAGGTTGCTGTCTTCTTGTTGCAAATTAAGTTACTTAGAAACAGTTTTCGATCTTGAGCTATTAAAAAATTCATCAATGTTTTCTGCTTAACTTTTTTTAAAATTTCTGAATGGTGAGAATATATATATTTTTAAATAAAATTCCAATAAAAATTTCTAATCCTGCAGAGATTTAAGACAGAGCATTCAGCATGTATTTAATTGCTCATGTTTTAAAACACTCTCATTGCAGAAGGAATTAAGGAAATACTTCAAACCTTTCACACATCAAAACAGAAATAAGATATGGAAGTGTTCAGGCTGACTTATCCTTGGAACATAAGAGAAGAATGATGGTTCTGAAGGATTTTAGTATCTTCTGTATTTTCTCTTCCTGTAGATATGTGGCTGAGAAGCCTTCAATTTTATTCTTTTTTTAGAAGCATCTTTTTTATCTACATGGTTTTAGTTAATCATATTTGTAGTACTTTTGCAAAATTTTGGGGCTTTTTTTTATTTTTTAAGAAATACAGCTTGTAACTGCATTCTTTTTAAAATAAACATAAGTAGCCTTGTTTTCCTAGACTTAGTAGAAAGGCTTACTGCTACTGCCCTCAGGTAAAAAAATGCAACCAATAAAAAGTGAAAATTACACTTGATATATTCAATACATCTTTTTCCAACCCCCATTCATTATCACTGTTTTGTCTTTGCCTGATTCTTTCAGTTCAATGCTAAATTGGCAAGAGCTCAGGATAAAACCACCAAGTCCTTTTCAGAGGCTTCAGTCTTACCACAAAGTATCTATCGAAGGGTAGGTGCTTTCATAGTGTGTAGCACACAGATACTGTTTCAGGGTGTTTGAAGCAGGAGTTCTCTGGGGTTTCTCTCCATGTGTTCTCTCCCACACACCCCTCCCACCTCTACACAATTCAATTCATAGAATCATAGAATAATTTAAGATGGAAAAGGCTTTTAAGATGAACTCCAACTGTCATGGCTCTTGACATACTGATACTACTGCAGGCAAGCAACAATAAAAAGCAACATGTGAGGTGTTACTACAGAATTGTTAACCTGGAAAATTAAACTAGAACTGACATCACTACATCACTGACACTGATATAATATTCTGCGTATGTTTTTGGGGGTTTTTTTTGTTTGGTTTTTTTTTTTTTTTTTTTAGGCTTAAGACTTTGAGATGGCAGAAAACCAGGATTCTGGGGAAATACTTTTTGTAATTTTGTGATACAAAATACCAAGGAAAATATTCTTATTAGAATATATCTTACTTGCAGTAGTAAAATGTATTGTTACATAATTTTATGTGATGTTTAAGAATGAAGCCTTTGCCTGCACTTTTACAGAAGCTGCAGCATCTCCAGGAAGAGAAAAACAAGGAAATTGAAATTCTCCGAAACACGATAAGAGACTTGGAGCAACGTCTTAATAAAGGCCAAGACCTGCCCTTCAAACGGAGGAGATTCTGAGTAAATTACTTAAAGTATTTCAGTGTTTCAAATTCTGCATCTCAAAATAAAAACAAGATATGAAGAAAGTATGTTTTATTGAAAACACTCTTGTCAAACATTCCAAAGGCATGCATTCTGTGTACATTCAAAGCTACTCTCTTGCTAATCAGCATTCACAATAAAAAGATTCAGGTTTTGTAGGAGTAGTAATTTCCCTATTAAACCATCATTAATTATGGTGTATGCTTTCATAGCAGTTTTCTTTTCATGAATATTCTCTTCTTCATCCAGGAATTCTTCAAACAACTGGATTTACTTCCATTCAGTTAATCAAACATTAGGAATGCTAGGCTATAGACAGAGAAGTTATACAGGTTTAAGTAGTATATTATGTTAATTGATGCAGATTGCTAATTGATACAGACTTATCCAATTCAGCACTGTTATAAACAAAGATCAACATTACACCAAGATTAAACTTGTTTCATCCCACCCTCTTTTTGATTCTGACTCTCAGTTGTTGACACTACTTCTCACTTCAGGATGATCTAATTGATTTAGTAGGATTTTACGTGCTGTAGCAGTATTTATTAATGGACCCTCTTACTGCATCTAAGAGCAACAAAGCTCTTAGCTTTGTTAAGAAAGCTTTGTCAAAGTGAAGTATATCAATCTGTTACTTAAAAATAAAGCAGTTACTGTCTGTATATTACATTTTTAATATGGAATTATTCTGTCACATTGCTTAGGAGTAAGTTTTGCTTGTACACGATTTGTATCCCCAGGTTAGAAAAAAAAAAAACAAACTCAACTTTCACATCTATTGTCTTCTTAATAAAAAATGATTAAAATATCTGTCTTGGTTATCTTCTGTTCTTGATTGCAAAACATCAGACAGGAGCCCCTAGGTCATAGTTTATGCTCCTGTCCTCACAAATGCAAGCAGAAACATGTTAGAAGAGAAACAGGAAAGACAAATTAACCAAGAATGCAGACACCTTCCCAGTGGAACTTAAAAACAAACTAGGGGTCAACCAAATTCCTTTAAATCATGACACTTTTCACTGATGGAATTTGACAGATATTCAATCATTCTAAGAGCACTGCTCTAAAATACACTTCTGTGCAATATACCCATACCTGTCAGCATAATCTTGAATTTGGGGCAACAAAAACACATAATCTGTTCATTTTTCTGCTCTGCTCTACATTAACTGAGTTAGTGTGACTCCCTTGTTTCTGGAAGGTGCTTAGTTTGTTTTTCAGGATCAGTTCCTTGCCTTTTCCTGTCACTGTCAGGTGTCACTAGTTTCACTTGCTCCTGCTGGTGATGAATGTCAGGCAGCAGAGAGCAGACGGCACTGTCAAGACTCAGTGACGTCCTCTGCTGCCAGCTGCCCGTGTCACCTGCAAGAATTTGGTAGTGCTCCACGACACTGTCAGGTGACAGAATTCCCTAGCTCTTCAAACAGAAGGTGTCGACAATGACAGGATCAGCTACTAGAGGTAGAGTCTGATCCTGTCTGCCAATTTCAAGTTAACTGGTTTTTGCAGATGGTTTTCCCTTTCTTTCGTAGTTTTTTATCTTGTGGAATTTCCACAATTTCTCCTGGAGGGGCAGTGTCTACGTGCTCCTGACTACCTATCTGATCGTGTCTGTGGCGGCCAAAGAGCCTGTGGCGCCAGCCGCTGGGAGGATGATGTCTCTCAGTTTCAGCAGCAGCCTGGTGGTTCTCGTGTTTGGGATCACGACTGCCCTTCTGATGGTGATGGTGGTGGTGGCGGCGGTGGTGGTGTCCATGTCTGTGTGGGTTGCGATGGGAATGCTGGTCTGTCGGCTTGGATTCTATCTCTGACAGCTCTTCAACTGCTTTTTTAGTGATGTTTTCACAAACACCATCAGTATCAGGCTCCTGCAAAAGAGATGCTTGCATTAAGTACAGGGCACTGTATTCAATTAAACTAGAGGTAAAGTATTAACTGACATTTTTGCAGAGCATAAAAGGCACTTTTAAGTTATTTGTGCTATTTTGCTGAACATATGAACATATCAAAAATAGCCTTGTGCTGTCACACCACTGTCAACTAGACAGGGCTTTTTAGCAATTATCATTCCAGTAATTGATAATAATAAGTATTCTTATCCTAGATCCTACATCTGACCTGTCTGTGGTCTACATTTAGCCAGAATGCTGCACAATGGGATCAAAAATTATTATTTTGTTGAACTTCCATGAAGTATGTACATTTCTTGACAATCCTTCAAAGTATTTCTGGTCTTGAATGATTCATTAAAGAAAGCTACCCTTCTTTCATAATTTGCCACCTTGTATTATCACTTTTTTAAAATAACTCCTATAGACTGTGTTTAGATGCAAACTATAATGAATAGTAATGCAAGCCAGCTTGAGTTTGATTCCTGGGTTTTAAAAAAAATACGTACTTACCCATCCCACAAAATTAGAGTAGTTAATTGCTCACTACCTCTACAGCTCTACAAACAGAATTATTCTCCAAGATTTCATTTACATTTCTGACAATTACTTGCATTTCTATCAAGGACAGGAATTCATATAATCAATCAGTCTATTAGAAATCAAATCTAATTTGCTTAGAAAAATGTTTAAAAGCTATCTGCCAAGATGCATGAAATGTGTAAATTTGAAGTCATATATTTTTGGATTAATCACACTGACATAATTTTTAAGTACCAATCAAATCCACTTTTCTATTATACACAGAATGAGACAAGAAAATACCATGTAAGAGCAGTTTCCACACTTGTTTTCACAGTATGCAATCTTAATGGATTCTTCCACATACTGAAAATGCAGGAAGGAGTAGGGCATACCCAGATGATACACGAGACGGCCGCATCTAAGGAGAGAAAGAACCCTGTGGTTACAAATGCCTACAACCAAATCTCTCTTACGGTATCTCACTTTACTTAAATCAAACCATGCAAACTGTACAGTTCCACAGGGAGTGTTTCTGTTCCAGTTCACAGGAAAATCCTTACAAATTCTTGCCTGCTCACCTGCACTGGCCAGGATGAGAAGCACGATTGGCTGATGTGGTAGCTGCACTGCCAGAAGCCTGTCCTTTAGTGGCACTTGAGACTGAGAGAGTGCACTCGTTACAGACCCATTGGGATAATGAGAAGGGGTCTTTGCAGAGTGGTTGCTGCATTCTTACCATGTGTTTTTTATGCAACCTGACAGGTATTGTGACTGAGATGGGCACCGCGGTGCACCTGCATTACTGATTTATTGTGAATGGGGGGATTGTTATGGGGCCTGCTGGCCCCATGTCTGCACTTGAGGGTTCTGATATGCACTTGACTACACAACTGATCTGCTCAAAGGAGCTGGAGAAAATGCAGAACCTGTACACACGGGCAGCTTGTTCACTGTCAACACACAGTCCCTGGCCTTAGCTCCCCACATGTGGACTGCACATTTAGGACCAGCAGCAAGCAAAGCTTTCGTGGCTAAGGCACAGTAAGAACACAGACTCCTGTTCATGGATCACAGCCAGGCTAGTGCTTACCCAATTCATAATGTACACATACCCTGTGTGTCAACAACACAGAACTGGTCAACCTTTCAAATGCTCTGTGCAAGGTGTCTGGGCCCCCTCCCAGATGAAATAAAGCACTGTTCTGTTTGTCTGTTGTATGACATCAGCCTTCATTACTTGGGCATATCTGCTGCTGCAACATTCAAGATCGTTCATTCCACTGCTAGTTTCATCCCACAAACCTAATGTAGCTAATTTGCTTAAATTCATCACATTACAGAAAAATAATAACTTTCTAACTCTGTATTAAGCTTTTGTATGGCTTAGTATGAACTTGGAATGTTCATTACACTAATATAAAGTAACAAGGATAGACATGTTTCAAGAGTAGGATTTTTCAAGTAACTGCCATCATATCAAAATGGAAAAATTGGGATTTCAACTACAGTTCCTACTGCTGCTACCAAAATACACTTGTGACAGAAACCTATATCAAAAAGCAATTTTCTTCTGAAGTTTTAAGTTTTACCTAAAAACTAATTTTTCTTATGTCTACATGACATTTTCAACAACTCTCATCAAAAAGTTTCCATGACATAAAAGATTCTACTTTGATATGCATGGATGTAATGAAGTTATCTGAAAATAAAAACACTACAAAACCATGAATGTGTTACCAGATTTTACACTCACTTTTGTTCATCTACATCCACAGTAATTATAAAGAAAAAAATATTATTCCAAAATTACTTATGCAAAAGCAGATTTTGCTTTTGTAGCTTCATTTTTCCAGTAAATGCTAGCACTTTATATAGTTCAACTTAGAAGCTGAGCATGATGTTTTTGTTACTTTCAGATCAATGTAATAATACAGAGATTTGCAAATCATAACACAAAATATATGCAAATATTTTCCCATGTTTGTCTGTAAGCACACACCTGTCATAGATGAGAAAGTCATCCTTGTTTCCATTTAAAGTAGTCCAGACATCCTCTTGCTGCTCATCTTGCTGGTAGACAGTAATGTAGTCTGAAACACGTTCTTTTAGTAGGTGAAATTCCCTCCGGGATTGAGCTCCCTGATGGTTGACAATCACATACGAGATGTTGACCAATCCTTCATTCTCTAACTTTACTCGCAGGTCCTCCAAACTAGTGGGAATGTAAAGAAGCAAGACCATAAATCATTACAGAATCATGAGATTTGACACAAAAGTTAATATGCTCCATCTTGCTTTTATTACAGATGCATGATGTGGAGTTTCTTCCCTTTCATATTTTTCCCATGGAATTGCTCTAGAAATCTTTTATTTTTCAGTTATGGGAAATAGTCTAGAATGTGGAAGATTCTTTAATTTTTTTCTAAAATTAAGAACCAAACCAAATTACCTTGAAAGCCAAACACAAAGCCCACTTTTAACTTCGACGGAGCCACAGATTTACCACTGTTTTTAAATCAAATTCTTAATAAACTTGCAAAGCCTGTTACAATATGTAAGTTGTGCAGCCTAGAGGGGCAAACTAAGGTGTACTCACTGTGACTAAAATCCAAATCTGAAACTGGTACTATGAATTTTTAAGCCAAAATAATTTCACAAATCCGAAATGAATCAAAGATAAAAACTTTATGCAATTCCTGTTTGGCTCAGCTTGAAATTATTTTTTTATTATTACTGTTATTGTCATGATAGCTTATTATTTGCAAGGAGTAAGTTCTAGAAAATAGAGCACCAATGTCCCAGGTCTTGGATGAAAACCTAACCTTCCTTGAATGCTTCATAAATTTTTTGACACGACATTATTTGACAGGACCTACAGGTCTTACATAAGAAATCAGTGATCACTGATCTCTCTATTTCAGGTGAATCTAACCATGTTAAAGAATTGTGATATTTCTTGGCTTCACCATTTTTTACGACACTAATCATCTGTTGCTGTTTCTGTCAGGTGTTCCTGTGGTTTTGCTTTCATTAATGTCAAATTGGTCATACCATTTATTATGTTGTAAACCTAATTTGGAGAAGACAATCTGCCAGTCGGGAGTAGGTTAAGAGATAAAGAATCTTACCCACTGGCACAGAGCCCTTCTGCTGATAGTGAGCCAAGCCACTGGGTCACACATGCCAGCTGTGATGGTGGCACTTGGGCAGCTAGATTTCATGGAGAGCATCTGTGGCAGGGCACAGGTAGCATTCTCAGCTGGATAACACAAATCAGGACGAGATCCACGCTTACCTGGAAGCCTGCCGCAGGCACAACAATCAGCTAGCCTGGAGGAGAGCCACCACTGTCACCGAGCCTCGGGAGCTCCACATCGGGTCCTCCTCCCCAATACGCCATTCTGGGGGCTCCTGGCAGTTCTGGGTCTCTGTCCCTCCTCCTGGGAGGAGACAGAGGGCCAGAACTACCCCCAGACCTGCCCACATGGCTGGGCTTTACCTGAGAAGACAGAAAATAAATAATGTAAGGCCAATGCCTAAACAAAGTTCAGAATCTGAAATTCTCATAAGAAAACACAGCAGCATATTGCCTCCATTCAGTAAAATAAATAAAAAAGAGAAAAACCAAAAGAAACAAAAAAAGAAACAAACAAACTCCTCTAAGAATAAATCTGAGCTCTTTGTTTACTGCTCAGTTTCTTTGGTTTTTCAGTAGAGTTCCTCTATAATAGAGGTAGGTGTTTTTTCTTTGTGTTGCTTGAAGGTTTTTGTGGTTTTTTTGTTACTGTGTTTGAACAGCTACAAAGTAAACATTCAGAATAACTGGAATTTTTTTTAGTGCTACTAATCTTTCCCTTTGTAATTTCTTTTTGACCATTTTTAACACTTCAGCGATTTTAAAGTGGCCTTGTTTCTTGTTTTTTGAAATATATTGTGGTAAGCCAGTTTATGTCAGGAAGAATCTGAACCAGTTCACTCCAGTTACAGAGTAATTCCACTGTCTTAAAAGTATACGCAGCAACAGCGGATTTCAGTACACAGCAAGTACTACAGAACATAGCAGAAAATAACAGAAAATACTTCAAAAATTTTACAAGTCAGTCTGGAGTATCTAGATTCCATTGAGAAAAAGCTATGAAGAAGTTAGGCACCAGAAACAATTTTGCAAAAACCAGAAATGAAAACTGAATTTCAGGACTCCTCAGATCTTATACAATCTCATACGCATACTTAGTTCAGTTAACGTTTATGACAATCAAAGCACATAAGAAATTTTATAATTACCTTTTCATTTTTTTCCACTAACATCTCAATTTTGGCTTAAGCACACATTATCAAGAAATACTTAAAATTATAAACATAAAAAATTATAAAGCTGCTCCCTAACATGTCCTAGGCTGTGGAATTGTACAGTTTCACCACTTACATCAAAGTCTGACAGTGACCACAGAACGGTTTCAAAACAATAAATTCTGATAAATAATACATGTTCCATCCATCTTGTCATAGCCTAAAAGATTAATAATAATTGACCTTTTGAAACAAGAGTGATTTGTTGCTGCATTTGTGAAATCCAGCTGTCCCTGACAGTTCTTTCCCGACGTTCTAGGTAAAGTACTTTGAAGACTAAACTGTGATCCAGTGTATACCAACACAGCCTTTTTCCATTCTTTCCACAAATCGGGAAAGCAGCCTGCCTTTATATCCATTATGAACACATGAGACTCTCGTGACATTTTGATATCCTTCCTTGCCTTTCCAGCAGCCTTCTGCAGCACTGGCATGTAGTACCCAGCAACAGCTGTCCGCCCTGTGAGCTGCAGGAGAGCCATGGCATGCCTTATACTTCTCTTCATATTTCAACTTTCAACTTAGTTTCCAATGGAAATTTCCACAGTCAGCCTTTTCAGCCAAAGAAACAAGCAAACACTCTGCCAGATCTTAAGTCATGAAGCTCTTTCACAGCAAACCCAGCACACTTACCCTTTCCTCCTCCCCCTTCTTGGCAGCTCTGCCTGGCTCTGCTGCAGAAGGAAACAGCGTGGGGAAGAGGGCTGTGGTATTTATATGGCTCTTGTTTATCTCACTTTGCAGATACGGTTCAAAGTTCAGGGAGCTTTTTCTGAACAACTCTGCAAGCAAATGAAACCCCCTGAGCAAAAAGTACCCAAAATATTTCTCTATTAACTAATCCCAAGTGGAAACCGTTTATTGTGCATAATAGTGAAGCATTTTTACTATCATGACTTCAGATATCTTGTTATGCAGTTTGTCAGTCACCCCAGTCAGCTGGAGGTAGTGGTACAGTCAGAGGAGGGGGATGGGCCGAGGAGTTATTTTCTGAACACAGCGGTAACCACAGTGAGGGGGGAAGGTACTTCTCTATTGACAAAAACGCTGAGCTAGCAGTTTTTTTCTCATGTGCTTTATCTGGTATTTGCCTTAGAGAATGCTGTGCTCCGTCTGAGGGCATGTGCATACTGAGCTCCTTTGGCCCAGCTGCTCTTGATTGTATCACTCTGCTTTCAAACTTTTCTCTGTAGAACCTCCCAGTTCTTCAACTTCGTTGAAAGCTAGAGCCCAGAACTTCAGACATTTAAATCAATGTTGCTACATGAAAGTAATGAAGCTCTAGCTACTGGCAGTAGGTACCTGAGCCTTTGTATTTCACTATTATGTTTTATTAACCCCAGGATCGCCGAGGTATCTATGGACATCCAGGTTAAACTGTTTTCCTACTCCCTTCCCTTGGGGAGAGAATTGTTTATGCATGATGTTTTAGTTCAACAGCAGTTTACTTTGCTTTGATTTCCTCCAATGTACATGTTACGTGCGATTATGGGAAAATCCATGTTTAAAAAGTTGGTGTGCCCTCACAGTTCAAGGCGGTGAGATTGAAACTGCTTGGATCTATGGCTTCTGCACAGATAAGCATTTTGCTTTAGGCTGGATGCGAGATAGAGAACTGCTGACCTTGGGGGTTTCTGCTGTAGAAGTCCTATGCACTTCTTTTCCACTGGTCAGTGGAAAGAATGAGAAAGATGTGCACTTCTGTTCGGTAGTCTTGGAAGACAGAATGCAGAAAACAGACAGACTTCATACTAGACCTGAAGTTCTTTTAAAAAGTGGAGCATGCTTTATTCCTTATATTGTTAGGGAAACACATCTTGTATTCTTTGCTGGGTTGCTACCAAACCCTCATATGTGCATTAGTGCCCTTTACTGTTTCAATTGATAGACAATTTGCTCACCTCCTGCTTCAGGTTTTGGGGTTCGTACCCAGCACTGATAAAATCCTGTAAGGTTGGCTGGAAGCATTTGGTGTGCACCACATCCACCAATTCTTGCATGAGCACAGAGGCAGCCAAAAAAATGAAGCAGGTACAGCTCTATTAAAAGGGCTAATAAAAGTGATGCAGCTCACTGGTGACTGACAGTTGTTAGCTTGACAATTACAGTGAGGTGGAGACACTCTCAAAGGAAGAACAAAACTCCATGTCCATTTCCTTTTCCTTTTCTTTGTAGAGAGGATGTGGACAAGGTTTGATTAACAAGTGCTGAACCTATAAACTATAGGTAATACCACTGAGTGCTGCTGCGACATGCATCTCACAAGTACTGAAGAACTCAGAGTTGAGACAGAGTAAACTGAAGGAGCTGAAGGAGCTGTCGTATAAAACAAGTACTTTGCTGTGGAAAGCACACTGAGGATGGAAATGGACAGTGGTCACTATGGAAAAGTCAGTATTTCCTCCCATACTGTATGCAGAGACACCTGCAGCCCCTCAAATGCCTTGCCGAGAGACAAGAAGCAACTGTTGCCAGCAATGATCCCTGTGACAATAAATACTAAATGTAGTATTATTTATTATTATATCTATTATAACCTTTACAATATTAAGATGACTTCAACTATATAAACTGTATTCAAAGTGAGAAGCCATAAACATCTTATTTTTTAATGTTTACCCTACCTTAGATCATTGCTCTGGCTCAATAAATATTGAGGAAAAAAGTTCCTCTGTCTTAAAGCAAGTGGTAGGAAATATTATAATCTTGGTTGTGGATTAAAATAGATGTAATTAATTTGGTTTAGAAATGTATAAACTAAATCTGCTTAAACTTCAGTCTGAAGCATTACTGTTTCTGAGTGGAAAAAAAAATCTGCATCCACAGGATGTTTTTATGAACATAGATAAAGCTGTTAATAATTGTCAAATTAACAGTCTAGGAGTCTGATCATTCCATTTCTTACATTAATCCCCTTTCTGTTCATAGGCTTCTGTCTATAGCTTGTAAAGAAACAATCATCTTAAATATTACTTTTTGCTTTCCACTGCAAATATTTTCTTAGTTGTTGAGTTTGGTCCAATATCACGGCAGGAGGCAAGTTATGAACTCTAATTTGGACAAGCCCTCAGTTGGAAATGATAATTTTTATAATGATTAACCTGTTCCTATTCACTCTCTTTCTTCTTTGGGGGAGGCTAATAGTTCTGGTGGAAATAATAGCCCCCTTCCAGTCTTATTGAACATAAACTTTCTCCTTTTCTGACATGTTCCAAACTTTTCAAAGCATCAGAGCACAGAAATACCATTTCTTGTTTCTGTTATCTAGATTGGTAATGTACATACTTCTTGGGAAAAGAAAAACCAAAAATACATAAAAAACCCCAACACAATGCCACAATCCCAAAGGACAAGGAATTGTGGCTGTCAGAAATTACATTCTGGTAACACCTGCTGAGAAGATTTGTAACGTGCAAATAATGCAAGGATGGGGGCAGAACACAGATTCGGCATGAACCCTGTTGTGAGGCCTTAGGACTTCAGTGCCTGTTTTGCTCTTGTGACTGAAGGATGTCATAAACACAGAATTCAAAGTCCACTTGCAAATCTTAATTGTTTACTGGTTCTTCCCTGTCTTCTCTGACAACTGTGTCAACTCAGGGTAGTTACTCATACTTTATAGTGGAAAATATGGCAACAGCAGAAGGCTGTTAGAGTTACGTAATGCTTATATAAAGAAATTTCCATCAGTTTATGAGGAATAAACATGAATAAATGCTGTAAAAAAAAGGGTCACTTCAGTGAAGGGCAAAAAGATACACTGAAGTAAAGTAAATCACAGTATAAGGTAACTAAATGCACACTTCTCAGAATTCAAAGGAAGGAACTAAAGCTGACATCCTCTGATGTAGGTCTAAAGATTGTTTCAGTGAACAAAGGAATAGCTGATACATGCAATTGTCCACTTATAAATAAAACGAGACTTAATGGAGCCCTGATCTAGCAAAATGCTTGGGTTTTCTGCTTGGAAATTCCATTACAATAATGAAATACCTTTCTCTGCTTGAATCTATCTGTAGCACACTGTAAGTAGGAAGGGAAATGTTTTATCAGATGTGTCCTCAATCACAATAATTGCACAGATTACAAAGGCAAACAGACCCTAATTGCTGAATAGCTACGTCTATTCTGAGTTCCTTGCAGGCTCTGTTTACTTTCTGCATTTATCCTGCAATAATTCTATCAGTCCAGAAATTCTCTAAGTCACTGCAGTGAGCTTAAAACCGGTGGTCCTCTTATCATTTGAAGGAAGAAAAAATTTGCTGGTGATACCCAAGAGGTGGTTCAGAAGATCATAGCTGTAGGAAATCTTCCATATTTTTGTATTTTTACCAGTGTATTTAGTAATACTTGGCAGTCCTGTGATCCATAGAGGAAAACTGAAAATTCCTTCAGTTTGGTGTACTCTGCTGAGGCTCCTGGTACTTGGCATAGTAAACCAGGAAGAAAATGTCATCATGCAGTGCCAACAACAGGGTATCTGTACAGATCTCATATCCCACACACGGATCCTCCTTCTGTGGGAATGATGCAGGTGCAGCAGGAATTCAGTGGGCAGCTTTAGGCTCTCCAATACAATTCACTGGGTGAACACATAAAATGGTTAAGGCTCTGGACCAATGAACACACAGAGAGTTAAAAAAACCTCTCTGTTATAGTGCATTCAGACATTTCTCATTACATTAACAGATCAGGGGTCCAAGAGAGTGTAACTGTAATCAAAACCTCAGAAGCACCATCAGCAATACATAAAATTCCTTTTAATTCTTTATACACAATAAACCTCCTTAAGAGATGTGGAGGAAAATCATTCATCAGCTAAATTCACAGTGGTTCATTCTAGGTGACTACATTTAAATGCTTCTCACCAGAAATACCTGTACAAGCAAGTTGTTGTTAATGATTTACAACAGGTCATGCAGTTCACTGCACTGAACCCTAGCTGCAGAATGGAAGTTAAGACAGCCCAGTACATGGGATTCAGTGACCATATACTGTAGCTATGATATTTTATTAAAAATCCTTTCCTAGGATTTTTCCCCTCCTGAGAGCTGAGGGCCTCAGGAAAGAAATGTAAACAATAACTATCTGCTGCTGTGGAATGCAACAGGTGCATCTTCCGTTGGTTCATGTGGATTGTTTTCCATTGATGACCAATCACAGCCACCTGTGCCAAGGCTGTGAGCAGTCACAGGATTTTGTTATACTTTCTATTCTATTACTGTTCTTTGCAGCCTTCTGATTTTCTTTTTTTCTCTGTTATTTTAGTATAGTTTTTATGTAGCATTTCAGTATCATATATAAGATAATAAATCAGCCTTCTGAAATGAAGTCAAGCCTTGTTTCTCCACACATGGGGCATTCACCTCAACAATATACAGTTAGCCTGATGGGAAGTTCAAGTCTGTCCATTGCTTATCTGTTGTGAAATACATTAAAACTGAAGTGAAAACTGGTCCCAGCTAATGAACAAAAGATGTTTGTATATTAAAAAATCCTCTTTCAAGAACTGTTGAACTGTAAATAAAAAATGGATTATGTGGTTTTGGTTAAATTTCTCTTTGTGGCTCTGTGTTGCTCTCTTTTCCTGGTAATACAAAAGTGGCTGTGAACATTATGGTCTGCAAGAGATGTTAGGAGCATTTATGGGCAGATTCAGATATCTGAGTGCAAGATGGAGACTGTCATACGTGGAATGAAATCTGACAAACTAAAATACTGATGGCTTCAAATACATGATATTGACAGTTAATTGCAGATTATAGTTCTTTTCAAATAGAAGGGTCAGAGGAGGCCACAAAGATGCTGAGAAGGCTGGAGCACCTCAGCAGCAAAGATAGGCTGAAAGAGTTGGGGTGAAAAAGAGAAGGCTTCAGGGACTCCTCACT